AGTACAGGTTCATTTACCATTTAATGTGAGAACATTTGGGCTGTTATGTGGCATCTGATTATCTTAGAATTGTTTTAGCTTTTTAACAAAAAGAAGTTGAAACAGGATGCACAGAACAAATCAGCTCACCGATTGCATGCATCACTGCCCATATAGAGCAAGGCATGGACAGTTACGATAAATAATGGGAATGGTTTCACACAATGGCACAATACCTGAGGAATTTATTGCAAAGTTTCCTCATTACTCAACTAATTTTAAAATCCATTTTATCTACTGATAATCCTCAGCCTTTACACAACTGAACTTTCAGCCTTCCAGATCAGTTTCATGACTTTTGGGAGGATTCATGACTAACCAGAAAAAGGTTTAACCAGTATGTACATCTGAGGGGTCATTTAAAGTTCCAGTGTGTAACATTTAGGAGGATCTTTTGGCAGAAAATACAGCATCTATGCATGCTGCTCCTGATCTCTCATAAATTTTGAGTAAAAAAAGGTCTTGATAATGGGTTGGTTATCTAGTTATTTCGGGATGAAGTTTCCTCTGATAATGAATTAAGTAACCTGTGATCACAAGATGACAGCATTACAAGAAATACCTGCCGTTCCCAGCTTTTGTACTCCCATAATTCATCAGAAACCTGGATATGTAACTCCTCAGAGGTGGTTTAGATAGTAAGTATTTTATAGGAGTAATGTAGGGTTCCTAATGTATAGTACATGTTTAAATACAGGCCATCATCTTATGTAAGATATTTACAGGAAAGAGACTGAAGGAGGAAGTCTGTGAGCTTATTGCATCACCAGGGTCACTTTACTGAAGCTTTTGGAGTGAAGGAAGTGCACTGTATGTCTACAAGAACTGTGTCACCACATAACTCCATCTATACTAAAAAATGCTCAGGTCATTTGTTTTGAGCTCCCGTTTTCTGAACAATGGTTGGCAACAGCAGCAAGAGGGAAGCTTGTTCCACTGTCCAAGAAAACTTCAAAACTGTTCTGAGGTGAAAACAGTTGTCCATTATGTCGTACTTTGAATAAAACTATGAAAACATAGCTTGCAAGCTAATCCAAAGGTATTTTCATTAAAGCTGCAGTAGGTAACTTATAAAAATAAGTTTTTGTCACATTTGCTGAAACTTTCACTATATCTTGACAGTAGAACATGAGACAGATAATCTGTGGAAAAATCAGGTTCCTCTGGCTCCTCCTAGTGCTCATAATGGCATTTGCAACTATCTTCAAGCTTCCAACCCAAAGTGTTGGTTGTTTTCATTTGGGCCCTTGCAAATACCATAAGGTAACTGTTTTCACATGAGAACAGTTCTGAAGTTGGACAGTGGAACAATCTTCTGTTCTGCTGCTGCTTCCAACCATTATTTTTTTCCAAAAATGACCTACTGCAGCATTAAACAGACAGCGGTATTGTCTGGAGCTTTATTGTTGTAATTCAGCATTTGACAAATGATCATAATTTGTTATTATTTGAATTGTTGAAATATACAGTGTAATCTGAGTTATCAGTGGGAGCAGTAATGTGTGGTGTTTCAGAGGAGCTGTTAGAACTCTGCACATACGTCATTCTGCACAGTGCAGAAAAAACATCTTTGACTGAAGGGAACTACAGAAAATTGTCATTGAACAAATGACCTATGTAGAACTGGTTTACTAAAGAAAACACAAAATGATTGAACAATTTTGATGCCAATGAATTCAGGACCATTACTGTTTTAATAAAATGTAAAGATTTCTATGTTTTAACACAGGAAATGGGTAAATATAGGAGTGTTGCTCTATGATACTGATGCACTGCACATGCACATGCTCTTAAAGGTTACGCCTACACTTTGATGTAAGGAGAAGGAAGTGCCAAGTGTCACTCAAAAGTTTGAGTTAGCTTTTGTTGAACAACAGCAGCAGCTGTGGTTACAGGTTGCAAACATTAACCACTATTAGCTACTGGAGGTGCAAAATTAACTTTTTTGACCACAGGCCAAATGGCTGGTGAGTGAAGCAAATCTATCAGCCTACTTTACCAATTGGCTGGGGGTTGGTGCTAATTTTGTCCCCTGGCTACTGGTCACTCTGTATACTGTCTATACTAGCCACAAGTAACGTTAATTGTTGAAAAAGTTAGCGAAAATGGATAAATGATTGAAAGAAAATCATCTATAAATGAATAAATGGTTGAAAAAGCTAATAGTAAAAGATATAATGTTTCAAGTTAAAGTTATGAGTGCAGAGAGGGAGATAGGAGCTCAGTGCACCATGGGAATATTCACATTCAATAGTCAATAGTGTTTAATGAACACATTTGGAAGATATTGGTGGTGTTGATTAAAGAGTTCATCTGACAAGACTGTGGGGGCACAAACACTGTTAGGAAACACTGGTTATCTTTAACATCCCTTAAACGTGTTAAAATGTCAACCACTGTTTGACATTGCGTCCTTTAAATTCTTCTGCGCCAATCATTAATCCAAGAGCACAATCTTGTCTCTCCAATACATGCTGAGCTGTTGCATTTACTTTGGAAAGTTCTATGATGGAAAGCTAATGCATGAAAATTAGATTCATGTAAAATAAGTGAAACCCTTCATATAACCAAATTAAATTGAACAGTGAATTTTATTGATCTACATCAACACGCACATGAAACAGACCAAACAACAAAATGTTTCAAATACAAAAATAGCCTTTGGTTTAAGTGTGTCCCTATCAATCAATCAGTCAATCAATCAAATTGTCATTGGACTACTTAATAGACTTTCAGATTGGATGTAGCGGTTACCTGCACCAGGAGAGGACTTTAAGGCTGTTTAATTTCAGCTGAGGCACATGACTGTCACAGATTACAGTTTTAACACCAACTTCACAGCAAAGTTCTTTATCCATGTGTCTGCTCGTGCTGCTGAAATAAGAATGTCTTTGTTGTTTGAAGAAGGTGCCTACAGTGGAGCCATAATGTCTTCATCATGGTAAAAATATCTGATTGATCATCAAGAGTGTGGTGCTCTTGCAAGTTAACATCACAGTGTTCAGCCTTGTGTCATTTGGTCAACCAAAACGCTGACAGTTTAACAGCTGACAGCATCCCTCGTGTCCAGGTGAGGCAGTCATTTACTTTGTTCACAATGGTCTCTGAGAATAAAGTGCTGCTTGGACCTGTGGCCGTTCACACATGGCACGGTGCTTTAAAAAGTTCAAAGAGAGCAGAAGATGAACGGATTCCACCCACTGATGAGAGCCGGTTCCAGGCCAGCTCTGCACTCAGACTATTGACTCTTTGGACGGCTGCTTCCCTCGCTGTGAGCCTTGTAAGGAGTGCAGCGCTGACGCCTCGCTGTGCGCCCTCGGGAGGAGGAGGACTACTCTCTGATTGGACTGTCGCCACTCGTTGTACAGTCGACAGTGATATCTGAGAGACACCTGAGGAAGACAGGTACATTTGGATTTCACTTTCATTTTAGGACTTTTTAAAGCTGCAGTAGGTAACTTTCTAAAAATAACCTTTTGTCATATTTGCTGAAACTTTCACTATATCCTGACAGCTGTACATGAGACAGATAATCTGTGAAGCAATCAGCATCCTCTGGCTTCTTCCAGTGCTCCTAATGGCATTTGCAAGACTCCACCGGGCCTAGACGAAAACAACCAATCAGAGCTGAGAAAAACTGTTGAGTCTCATTCCCAAAAGATCCCCGTGCTATAAGAATCAAGCACAACAAAGCAATGTCCATACAGTGGATTTGGATGACACAGAGGAATTCTATGTGTGATGCAGTGACAAAAAACAAAACAAAGGAAGAGAGCTGGACACCGACACTGACATTAAATGATACACATGTAGTTGTTAAGCTGTGATACTGGAGCTCAAGCAAATGTGATATCAGAGGCAGTGTTCAAAAAATACGACCCAGACCTAAACTACATGCAACAAAAACAAAAGTAAAAGGCTACTCGGGAGCAGACATACTTGTGAAAGGAAAGTGCATGGTAAAAGTGACGCACAAAGACAAAAAGCATACGTTAGCATTCATTGTGGTGCAGAAGAATGTGCGTCCATACTAGGTTTATCTGCTTGTGTGAGACTGAACCTAGTCAAGAGAGTGCTTGTTGTAGAAGTAAAGAAAATACAGACTATGATGAGCTGATGAATGAATATAAGGATCTATTCCAGGTCTCGGCTGCCTTTCTCAGGAAACACAATAAGAGTGGACAAAAGTGTGCCACCAGTTATTCATCCATGCCGAAAAATGCCGTTTGCTCTTTCAAAAGCGC